TTTGTTACTTTTACAACTATATCAAACAGCTGCTTTACTCTGACTTTATTTTATAAATCAGCAATGATCCCCAAATACAGGGAAAATTCTGCAGTTGCAGACTAAATGTGAAAATGATTTTTGATAAGAACTTTAAAATTGTAAAACAGTTTATTGTTGAACAAAAACATTGTTTCCCTTTAACATCAATCTGTGTGTGTCTTTATCCTGCAGTCCTTTAAAGAAAATGACTGTGGGGATGTTCCTTGCTGCTCTTGCCTTCATCGCTGCTGCCCTCGTCCAGCTACAGATTGACGTGAGTGTAACTAACATAAAGAAACTTACAATGGGACAGCTTGTTAAGCCCAATTCTCCAACTCATATCTTAATTTATTTTCCAGAAAACCCTGCCGCAGTTCCCATCAGGCACTGGAGTCCAGGCAAAGATCATCAACATGCTGGACAGACAGGTGGACGGCTCAGCTGGAGACTGAAGTTTAGCTTGCAGCCTTTCACGGTATTGACGTCAAAATAAGACCCCGCACACAGAGACACTAACTAACAAAATGTATGTGAAGTATGTCGGTCTAACGGTTTGGAGGATATATGAATTGTTGACTTTCTCTATTTTACAGGCCGAAGAGGATTACATGTCATTTGACGGAAGATTTGCACTGGAATTTGGTGGCAATGTTTCCCCAGTCAGTTTAAAGAATGGCTCTAGAAATACCCTCGCCATCATTCAGGATGGAGCCCTACCCAGACATCTAGAGGTAAAGACACATGTGACATCTAGAGGTAAAGACACATGTGACATCTAGAGGTAAAGACACATGTGACATCTAGAGGTAAAGACACATGGGCACATGTGGTGGAAGGGGGCCTGTCCAAGTGAGGTTATTATGTTCTACAGCGAGAGTCCAAATAGTGTTTTATGAAACCTAACGCTAGATCTGAATCCATATATTAAAGCAGGATTATTATTTAGCTAAAGGTTTTCCTCCCAACATTACCTGTCTCTCTTCAGCTGCCCTACCGAACAAAAAGGCCCAAATAAAAACCTTTTAAAATGGGATGAGTAGTGTGTATCATAAGTTGGATTTTAAATATTTGACATTGTATGTTTTGTTTTAATTAATTGTGTCAAATGTATCTTAAAGTTTCTTTCTTTCTCCAGTTCACAGACATCACAGCAAAACCGGAACAGGGAGCTAATGCTGTGAGGCAAGTGTCGAAATGTTCTAAAGCTTTTAGAAACAAGTTTGTGGATAATTTTAAATTATGCAAGACTGTGTCATCGTCTTCTGATTTGTAAAAGGGTGAATGTTTCAAATCATACTGCATATATGCCACTGAAAGGTATCTTATTGTTTGTGTCTTATTCCACAGGTTTTTTAATGGTTACAGCTCAATTCTGAACATAACCACAGGGACCCTGGACTTTGGGAGCACTGTCAAAAACAAAATGTCAACATATGCTAATGTACCACATGGAGAGTAAGACAGATATTTCATGACATATCTCACAAACATACTATATATATTGTAGATTTTTTTATTCTTCTAACCTATATTGTCTTGTTATGTCAGAGCGAAGTTCCACATCAAGGATAATGCTGGAAATCAGTGTGACTACAGTCTGACACTGGGCTTCGGGAGCTCATACACCTTGCTCATCCCGTCTACTTTCAAATTTGGAACAAATGTAACTAAATGAAACATTTTGAAGTCACAGCATTGCTGCTTGAATTGATTATTTTTTGACTGAGGTTGCACATCCTCGTACTTGTCTTTGTCATGTAGTGTGAAAAGAGCATCAACACAGCGCTAGACATCAAACCTAACTCCTTCCACATGGCCTGGCAGATTCCTCAATATTTCCTCATCACTGCAGGAGAGGTGGTCTTCTCCGTCACCGGCCTGGAGTTCTCTTACTCACAGGTAGAGGGTGCTATCTTGTGCATAGGCAGCTGAAAAATACAAATAAAAGTAACAAAAGAGACACAAAATAGAGGCAGATTGACTGCCATGAAGCATGAATTTAAATCTATTTTTTTCTCGGCAGGCACCCAGCAACATGAAGTCTGTGCTGCAGGCTGGTTGGCTGTTGACTGTTGCCGTAGGTAACATCATTGTGCTAATTGTCGCTGAGGCTGCAAAGCTCCCAGATCAGGTGGGTGGATTTGATTTAACTGTTTGAAGACACATTTGATCTCCCTGACCTTGAAAAGAAACAAATGTCTACTATGAATACTACTACATTTTTTATAGAGCATAATTACACAGGTTTTGTCAAAAAAAGTTGAATGTGTTAGGTCCACTTAAGGACTGAAAACATATTCACCAATAAGAATATATGACCAAAAAACAGAGAGAATTCATTTTGTGCTGATATATCTTTTCAAGTTCTTTCTTCTTTCATTTTAAAATGTCTCAAATTTAAGGAAGGAACATCTCTCTCAGGTTTCTTTTCTTCATGGAATAAAAAAAAAAAGACAAAATAAACTCAGACTAGCATTGATGGAGGTATTATTTTGATAACACTAACAATGACACAAAATAAAACCACTTCATTAAGAGTAAAGCATTACATTCGTAGGTGTTTGATATGAAAAAGATTGAAACCATACTCTACTGTCTGAGATCTATCAAAGATAACTAATATTAGCATAAACAAAAGACGGGGAAAGCTCGCCTAGTTTTAAAGAAGGCTGGAAAGGGATTTTTTCTTACTCTAATACGTCTGTATTGATGATGTAATGCAATGAAATGTGTCAATTTTAAGCTTTAAAAATGCTGGTATTTCCCTTTTACCTTTGGACACAGCCAACAAGCTCTAAGTCAACTCTCTTAGCTACAGCTTCATACTAAATAGACAGATTTAAGAGCAGATCTTCTCACCGTAAAGCTATTCCCTTTAGTTTAGCTCCAGTTTAATGTGTTGAGTGTTGTCATTACTTTTCTCTAGTGGGCCGAGTACATCCTCTTCGCCTCTCTGCTGCTGCTAGTTGACTTCCTCTTTGCCTTCATGGCCTATTTCTACACCTACATCGACCCAGCCAAAATAGAGGCCCAGTTTGCCCATTCTGATCCCAAAGACAAAGAGAAGAAGAAGAGTTTGGAGATGGGGAGGAAGGACTCAGATGGAAACAGCAACTCGGACAGGAAGAGCTCTTACACCAGCCACAATGAGAAGAAAGACGTACAGTCCAGGATGTAAAGGGACCTTTTCTGTAAGGCTAACCCTCTTTGCTATATGAATACGGCTTGATTCTGTGTCTTAGAGTGCACCTGCATTTTTATTTGGTCATTTTGTGAAGGAAGTCTGGTGCAAAGCTGGACAAAAGTGTTCAGAATGAATTGATGACCTGAAGGAAAAGGTTCTGAAGTTTGAAGAACACAGAAAAAAGTGCTTCGATGATTAAGCTCTTGATGGACAGTGTTAGTGAAAGATCTCTGCAGGGATATTTCAAATACAAGATAATATATATATAAATAAAATCCCAGGGTCCTTATTGGTTAATAATTTGAGCTTTCGCTGTTGTACATTTGTTTTTAAAATGAATTATTTTGCACTGTGTAGCAACTTCTCTGTGTAATTTTTGTTTCATAAGCGTATGTACTGGAGTACACATACAAAGAACACCTTTGTATTTTCTTCCAATCACAGTGTTGTACTTATTGTTATATTTTGTTTTAACAAAATTTATTTTATTTTGTCTGTCTATTTTTGTTTTACAGAAACACATTGTTGCCATCTGCATCAGTTTCAATCTAGCCTTGTAGACTGCCTGTTTAATAAGAAAATGTTGAATTATGTTTCATATTCAATTTCATTTTGAACTCAAAGATTATTGTCTGCATTAAAGCTACTGGTAAGGTGCTCCATCCTTTCACATTTATACTGCCACAGATTTATTGAATCTGATGGAATTTTTTTTCCTTTTGTTTTTATTATTATGTGTTTACACAAATATGAGGCCAGACAAAAACCAAATATTCAAGGGATGTGCTTCACAATATTAGAGCTCTACGTTCCTCTTCATCATTATAGTAGGTGTAGCTGTTTGATTAGTGAACCAATATTTGAGTGATCAAACAGCATGTTTTTATGTGATCCATTCAGACAGATACACGACTGCTGATAATAAATAGAGAGGAGAGAGAGAGACAGAGGCAGATGATTAAAAGAAAGAGAGAGAGAGGGAGAACAGCAGCAGCAGCGCATGAGGTAAACAGTGCACACATTCACTGCATTAACTGTGTATCAAAAGGTGTATAATTGAAGTAATATTGCAATAATGTTCGCATGAATGCACTTCACTTGTTTGTTCATGATAACAGCTATGCATCAAAATGTCATATCTTATGATCATATCATATCATATAATTGTAAATGAAATAAGGCGCCTGTAGTGCATAAAAAATCATCAAAATAGTTTGATTATTTGAAAGATCCCTTGAACGCCCCACAATGTAACCATGTTAGGCTGCTAACACTTGATAAAATGCCTCTACGCTCAAAATTTAGTTAGGGCTGAAGAAAGCCTCAAACTAAAAATGTTATGATCAACTAAAAAAAGGAGTCGAGACTCTAGACCTAATGTCAACCTCGTCATGGTGATAGAAGAATAGAAAGCAAAATGAGCAGGATTCATCTGAAGGACCATGATGAATGTCCATGTATGTATAAGTAGGCATATTATACTGAGTAAGATAGTGATTAATCCACCAGTCATGCTTGCCATGGATAACAAAAATAGGCTATGACTAAAGTCTTTATGATTCATCATCTGAGGACCGTAACTGCTGATCCATCATTTGGTGCTAATTCAGATTGAGATATTTCACTGAAAAAGTTAACAATTTAATTGACAGTAACTTAAGATCAAATGTCAGGGAATCCCCCAAACCATCAGGATCCATCCTCTGGAGATGATGAACACCATGGTCAACTTCACAATATTAAAGAAGCTCTGTAGAATTCAAAGGTCAACACTGAGACACACACGACAAAGCTCTCAGTTAGCATTAGATCTTTATTTCTCATGTCACTTTGAAAGCTTACAAGGAGCTTACATTAAACTTGGGAATTCTCAAATGACACAAGCAAAGATTATATACAGTACTATAAACTGTCAGCTATGATAAAGGAGACCAAATGTACACATTTTGTAGTTATTTCCGTAGCATATGTTTTTCTGTAAGGTATAGATATTTTTTGCCAGAGGCAGGTGCCCATATCCATAAAGCATTCCATATTTCCATACTTAACTCTTTGCAGTTATAAAAATATCTGATATTTCTTAATTTCTTTCAATCCCTGTGTTGACAAGTGCGTCTTGATGCAACTTCTCAACATTATTGCTGCATTAGCACAGTAGTAAAATCTGAAACTCTTAAGTAAACGTATATAGTAAAACATGGCTATTAGCAACTCTTTTCTTTTTGTCTTTTTGTTCCTCTCACGGGTCTCTTTAAATACTCGACACACTTTCAAAGTGCAAAACAACTGATCTGAAAATAAAAAAAGGTGCAAATCATTCTACAAACATGGTGAAAGCGTTAAAGACGACATGGCACTTCTAGTGTTGGTTCGGAAGTGAGAACAGAAATTTCCGGAGCAAAGGAAAAAAGATGGCGTTGATTTCTGCAGCTTAGTTTTGACCTGATCTACACTCTAGTTTGGCCATGAAAAGAACTGTAATGTGATTGCTTCGACTTCACTTAAGCTTAAAGGATCAATTACGAGCCGAGGAAAAATAATACTTGTCTTGATGTCTGCATTCAGCCGCCTAAAGTGGTTCTCCTTTGTAATTGTCCAACTCAATACTGTTCAATTTAAGAGCCACCGCCGACACAAACATACCTTCATTCTTACCCTAAACAATTTCAATTGTCTAAACAGAAGCACAGGTAGGAGTTCTCCCCCTGCCTACAAAAACAAAGGAAAACGCTAAACAACGTACGCTTAGTATCGAAGTTAGTTTGATGATTGAAATGGAAGATTGAAACTCAGTCATTTTAAAAAACACTGATGGATACTGAATCTCACTCACAGACGAGTAAAAGAAAACAAACTTCGGATGAAATGCCAGAACATAGATGTGTGTATCTCAAAAAGGCAAGGCATTTTCTGTTTCCATCTGTTGGAGTTACTTCTGAAATCTTTAAATATCTACTTCTTTTTTTAACATTATCAATATCTACAAAATGCACAGGACCATTTTGTACACAGTGATTCATTTCCCACAACTCAAAATCATGTACAGCATGGCGACCTCCCCTCCTTCCCCTTCCTCTCTCCGCCTTCTCCACCTCTGTCCAATGCCTTGAAGTCCACTTAAAGCACTTTACCTGAGGTTTCATTAAGAATGCTGCAATTTGCCTTAACAGGGAGTCTTACATACAAGAGAGCACGCACGCAAACACGCTCACAGGGTGCCTGTTTTAAGCACGCACACATACGCAGCTTGCACACTTATATCCCTGCAGGTTCATCAAGCATGCGGTCAGAGGTTTTGGGGATATGACGCCTGCATTAAGAGAGGGGCACTGAAGAAGTCTAGGATTTTTTAGGGGAGATTTTCAGCTCCTCTGCGAGCAAATTCCATGTAGCGAAGCCTCCGAGAAGTCTTGTAGAGTCTGACGGTGGGTTGCTCCGACTTTAGTCTCGTTCCACCAAAACTTCTGGCTAAAAGAAGCTCTCCGGAGTCTCTTTTTTTATCCTCCGTTTTGAGTTCAGTTACTTCTACAGGCTTGGTAAGCTCCCCACCCACACAGGAGGTCAAACATGGTCAGCTGGTATTTTTTACTTGACCTCTCAGCTGGATGTGGTGTTGGGGGGGAGGTGGGGGCCTGGGAGAGCAGGGGTTGGGCAAAGAGCCAGGTACTAAGGGGATGAGGAGGATGTCCGGCTTGTGGAGAAACTGCAAAATCAGACAAGGAAAACAAAAAGGTAAGATTGGCATTATATGCAGCAAAAACATCGTAAAAATCTGCATCTCATGACTGGATTCTGTTGTGTGATGTTACCTCTGGAGCCTGTGCACCATGTGGGCAACCAGCGAGTCGGAGATGCCAGGGTAAGACTCCTCAGCCAGCAGGATTGCCTCCCTCAGCTCGTCCAGGACCATGGGGTTCCCGTTCACCTGCTCCTGTCTCGCCTTCAGCTGGGAGTGATGAGTAAGAAGAGAAGGCAAAGATTTAGTAAAATTACTAAACACACAAGCCAATTAGATAAAGTTGTTAACCCACAAGGGCTTTCAGTTTAAATAAATAATAAAGGTTAAAAGTGACTATTGATGACTTGAACACACTTCTGATAAAAATGAAAACATGAAACAAACAAGGCTGACATAAGAGTCGGGTGTCAAATCTGTGTATGAAACAGCTAAATCCAATTTGACGAAATCCTGAGGTGTGTGCAGCCCAGGAAGTTGACTTACCTCGGCTAGTGCAGGAGAGATGACTGTGGCCAGGCTCTGTGAATAAGGCCTCTTTGGAATGTCTTTTGTCTGTGGAAAAAAGAGAATGAGAGAAACTTGAGAACAGGGGAAGTGAAAGAAAATTAAAGTAGTGCCTTTTCAACTTGGGAGGATCACTTTTAATCACCAAATCATGCATTCCTCTCCACATAACACAGACTAATTCTTGTGTAACCGTGCGCAGTATCTTTCACAGCGTCTTTTAGCAACTGAAAATGTCGAAACTGAGATGATTTGCACCTGGTCTGTTGCCCCTGACTGTCCCTCCCCATTCTGCAGCTTCTTGGGGTCCTTCTCTCGGATGGTGAAGATCCAGTCATCACTGCCAAAGTCGTTCCCGCCCGACGCCTGGCCGTCCTGCTCTCTGATTGGATGGATATGAAAAAGAGGCTTTGAAACATCCATCGAGCTAGTAATGAGGTCATGCGTGTTAAGTGCTTAAACCTCATCATAACAAATGTGGGAGAAAAGCAGCACAGAGGCTGTTTTTACCTCCTTCAGCAGGATGTGTTTGTGTCCCATTTACTCTTATTAACAGGAGAAACAACACAGCGAGAACTTAAAGGGACAGGATCAGACTTACGAGTCAGACTCATCAGAACTGGACTCTGTGGTTCTGGACTGCTCCGCCTTCCACCTCTTGTACTTGTCAACCAACTCAGTCAGGTAGGAGGTCTTTTTTGCGTGTCGCACGATCAGCTTATGCTTCAACAGTTCTTTGGCGGTTGGCCTCTGTGGGAAATAGTAGAAGCCAATGAGATGATGCTGTCAGGAAAAACCCTGTGACAAAACAAACAAAAATGAATAGCTACGTACAAAACTGGGCTCCTTGTTGAGACAGGCCTCTATAAACTCCTTGAGCGGTTTGCTGTAGTTGCCCTCCAGCGTGGGTGGGTTGTTCTTTGGGATAAGGAATAACACCTTCATGGGGTGGAGCTCTGAGTGAGGGGGCTCACCTTTTGCTAGCTCGATGGCTGTGATGCCCAGAGACCAGATATCAGCCTGGAAATTAAAGAAAGACAATGTGAAAATCATACAATGATGCATCACAATATCTGATTAACTGAAGGTTTAAAAAGGCCCCTAAATAGGTCAAATGCTAGCTGTATTGCTGCATCAATATTTTGTCCACCCCAAACAAAAACATACCAGCAATAACAGTTGCTAATATTCCTTTCCTGTGCTCTCTGCAGTAATCCACCTCTTCTTGAATCATTTTAAGGCTTGCATTCATCTCTTCACTGTTTGACCTTCCTTCATACTTCAACTCTATCGGTTTATAATTCTAGTGTTCTAAAAACAGAAACTTTTTCTGTTGTGATGCACTCATTGTGAGAGCAGTGAATGAATCTCAGCACGAACTCTGTAGAAATCCTTGACCTTTCATCATAAGTGGGTACAGCAGCCAAAAAAGTGGACTCAAAAATAACTACCTGAGTAAATATAGGGAAGCAGCTAAACCATAATATAAAACCCAGACATAGACAGCTGTAAGTGACTGCACAGACACAAAAATGTAGACTTTGAATCAGTGGTTCCCTTGATTAGAGGCCCCATGTGATTTTTTTTCTCTTAAGCAAAGACACTTTGAGTATTTGTCATCAATAGAATCATTTAAAACACATTTCCTTCTTAATTTTAAGCTCTATCAGGCAGATTATTCTCAGTTTGATGGCTGTCTTATTTATGCCGTGTTTACTATCAGTCTTCTTCTGCCCTGCTTTTCTGGTGCAATGCTGCGGCAACATTTATTTCCTTTTATAACTGAGCATGATGTGTGCTAGTTCAGCACATACAAATGGGTGCAACATTTACATTTAATACATTTTTTATGAAGGTTGAAAACTTCAAAAACATTATAAATAAGGCACAGACATCAACATTGCTATATTAAAAACAGGGTTCATACATTTTTCAGGTTGAGGTTTTGTGAGAGACATTACAGCCCTCATTAGCCAGCTGAGTACTGAATACTTCAAGCAGCTAATAATGGAAAGTAATCCATTTCACATGGAGGAGTTCAGTGATTAAAAATAAAGTAATTATAACAGAGATTGGCTGGAACCTGCGAGGTATGGGTCAGTTGAAGGTGTCAGTGGGCTACTTTGCAGTGGGCTTGTTAGCTTGTTTATTGCTAATTTAAAAGACAGTGGGAAAAAGTTCATGCACACAGCAGTCCATAAAAAGGGCATTTTTTCCATGATTATTTTACCTATACTTAGATAAAGGATAAATTGTGAATTGTGTTATAAAATGATGACTGGAAATAAGTGTGACAACAATGCTGCTGCAGTATTATAGAACGCAAAAGTCATTTATAACAATTATTGCCTACAGAAAAAAAACAACCTTTTATAACAATTTCTGAGACAAACATTTGAATAAGTCAATTAAACTTGACTATAAACCCAGAAAGGTTCTGAACACTCAGAAATGCTAAGCTGGTAGTAAAGAAACAAACAGATTAGCTGGTTAGAGTCAGTGCTAGTTAGACCTGGGCCTTCCAATTTGCAGCTCAGACCACCAAACAAACTCTCCCTTTAATTCATAATATAAACAGATGATCATGTACCATTGTGTTAACCCGTCTTTTTGCAGAGACAAAAAAAACATTTGAGTACTTTAACAATTCATATGATGTGAATGGGAGGTGTACCCAGCAGAAATGGAGAATTTCCTGCTGTTTGTTGCATTGGTTCGTAACACAATGTCACTGATCTTACCTTGGAGTCATAGGCTGACTGTTTGATGACCTCCGGCGCCATCCAGAACGGCGTCCCAACGAAAGTGTTGCGTTTGATCTGAGTGTCCGTTAACTGTCCTGCCACGCCGAAATCCGCCAGCTTCACCTCTCCCTGCTCGGACAGCAGCACGTTGGCAGCTGTGGAGGAAGGGGGAGGATGATGTGATCGAGCTCAGACAACACATCAAGTGAGAAGCTTCACGGCACCATTAGACACTCCTGTCAGTCTTGATCTGCATCACCAATTTATTTACGAAAGAGGGAACAACTGTCAGAAGCCTTTTAGCAGGCGGCTGCTGCAAATCCCCCGATGAAACACAAACTATATAATGAATGAAACCGTGAGTAGACATCAATACCATTAACGTGCTATGTGATATTTGTGAGTCCTCTAATAGCAGCTTTCTCAGTGGGTCAGCTACCTTTGATATCCCTGTGGATCTTCTTCTCCGAGTGCAAGTACTCCAGGCCCTTCAAGATCTCCCTTAGGATTGTGGCGATCTGGGTCTCGTCCAGAGCTCCGGGCTCCATCTTTTGGAGAAAAAAAAATGCAACACCTGTGAGCTGTGAAGGTAAGCCTTGCCTTAGACTTACTGTTATAAATAGCAATAGCCAAGCGTTATCTTAACTCTCTGCAAACAAACAACCTCTTCTGGTCATCTACGACCATGCTGCCTGGAATCCTTGCATCTGCAGTCTTTTATAAGCAGCTGTCTTGTATAATCTCAAAGCTTGACACTAATTTGAGCCAGCGACATTTTGGCTGACAGCAAATTTATGAGGAGCATCAGTCAAGCCATGGCTTTAGCTCCTGCCTCTTCACTTCTTTATCTCCCACCCCAGTATCTATGCTTGATCATGTTTTCTTGACAAGGAAACATTCCCAGATAGAGTTATAAAAATGAGAAACTTTAAAGGATGTGATTTAGTTCTTCATGTTTACATATTTTGGATTGATTGGTATGAAGTGCTGAAAACCTCTGCTAACCCATATCCTGGATAAACCCTCAAAAAAACATAAAGCAGGAAATAACTTACCAAATCCAACGCTGATCCTCCCCCTAAATACTCCATAATGATCCATAACTTTGTGTCCTGGAGACAGAGAAAGAGAAGAGAGTAACCGGTCAGTGATGAAGAGAAGGGTCATTAGTTAGAAAAGTACTGTGGTGCATTTGTGGAGAAGAATATTGAGTAAAGTTGTTGCTGGCTTATTGTGAGGAGCAGGCAGTCAGGTGTGTAGGTAAACAAGTCGTGATGATATTAGTAAGGGCTCGGTGGGTGTCTGAAGTCATCAGAGGCTAATCCCTTTTTAATTTCGGATTATTCAGGGAGAAAGTGAGCGGAGGAAGATAAATCCTTTCCTGTCTTGTCCCATTTACTCACAAACAAATGCAAAGAAACTCTTAATGCATAATCGTTGTGCTGCAGCATTATGAGTGGCAAACTTCACCTTCAGATATGAGCCGTAGTATTTGGTGACAAAGGGGCTGTCACACTGGCTCAGCACCGTGATCTCCTGCTGTATGTCTTCGATCTCGTCCTCTGCCTCCTCCAGGTCGATGATCTTGATGGCCACCACTTTCTGCGTGCGATTGTCGATACCTTTGAACACCTCGCCAAACGAGCCCTTGCCAATGCGCTCCAGCTTGGTGAAGAAATCCTCCGGGTCAGCTTTGGCATTCTGGGGGTGATTGAAGGGGGAACAAAGCAAGGGGAGGAAATGGAGGTGGATTTAAAAGAAAAAAAAAACACAGGAATGTTTGAAAAGAACTGAATGTTGGGGAGTCAATCGGAAACACCAGCAGGGTGCCATTCTTACAGGATACATTAATTCACTCATTGCAACACCTTGTGTTTGTGTACACAGAAAGAAAGACACAGGAGAATGAAGGGAAAGAGTGTAACAGTTGGATAACATGCAGGTTAAAGGAATTTATGCAACAACACATTTCATTAAAATAACAGGTTTTTCTTTCAATTCCCTGCTGCACCATACGGTTATATCCATGCGATGTTTCATTATTAAGTGATAAATCTATGAAACGATGCAAAATGGGGTCCACACTTCTCCCACAGACTTATTTTATATGAACAGTCAAACTAAAAGAAATGGAATTTGCAATGAAACTAGCCATTGAAAGCTGAGCAGCTTCATACTTTAGCAGCTTAAAGATATTCAACATTATTTGAAAAAGTGACAAATCAAACAGAATCATTGATACAAAAATAGTTCCTGATAGTATTATCTGGCGATAGAATAATCAGTTCAGTCATCCAGTGAATCAAAGCTGTTTTATAATAGAGACCCTATATTTGGATTAATGATACTGCTCCTACTGATATTTTGACAGTGTCCTATTTTGCATACTCTTAATAAAAAACTTAAGAAATTTCAAGAATGATGCTGTATTATTGATTTCATCACAATACTTAGTATTTTTCATTATTCAGTCTTAAAATTAACTTTAGCAGTAGGTTTATATATTCAGATCAGTTCCATTTGCCTTTTGTTTGTTTCATGTTTCTATGATTCCCTTGTTTAACAATTTCAGTCCATTTAACTTGATTGAATAAAAATAAAGCCTGATAGGTCTGATACTAACATAAATTCACTCAGTTAGATTTGGTGATGTCTGCGTGGAACCTAATGCAGATTTGTTTGTATCTGCAGGGATAGAAGTATTTCAAATCCCACTGTTTGTCATTTAGAAAATAATTTAAAAAATAAAAATAAAAATAAAAAGATTAAACAATAAAAGCACCATTCACACCTTTACTGGAGCAGCACACGTAACATGTGTATCTGAGTGATGGCTGGGAAAAAAACCCTCTTGAATGCTGCAGGAAGTGAACTAAAACGACTTGACTCTCCAGAGGCTGGTATGTGGGAAACACAAGAGCAGGCGCTGACAAAAACCACTTCCTTTTATGACCTCTTTTGAGCCGAGAAGAGGTCAAAATGCCCGTTTTGACTTGAGATGGCTAAAAATGAAACAGCTACCTTACGCAAGAAGGGATACATCCTTATGTCACCAAGGAAGAACATTTCAGCGAAATGACAGAAATATATACACAATAAACTAAACAGTAGGTACGCTGATTTAGAGTGCCGTGTAGAACTTAAATTCAAGAGTGATGGCCAAAAGACGTTCCTTACCCAACTTATCACTATCAAATTTGACTAAAGCCTTTACAGGTGCCAAAATCCCTGCAGTGCCTCTCCTGCACCCTCCCCCTGTTCATGAATCTGCATACATCCGCTAACAAGCCTGCACAGGGACCATAATTTGGTGCATGAAGCAGTTTACATTAAGAGCAGTTATCTCCTGTAGTTATCTACCCAACAAGTTTATCCCCTAAAGGCAAAAATCCTAAAGATAGCAGCATAGGCAAGAACAAGGCTCATGTGTGCATAATGGTCTATTTGTACAGGGGGGCAGAGAGATTATATTATTCCTATCAAATCAGTGCTGCAATATAATCATTTTGTGATTTATGTTTATGTTAAAAAGATGCAGCATTCACAGAATTAACAATATGACCATAAGTGATAGTGATAACTTTATAGAGATAAGTTTATGCTAGGCTGTGCTATAAACAGTGATTCTTTTCGATATTGCAATATGAGCACTCGCAATAAACACATTGCAAAAGTCTGAATGTATCGCAATAAATACAAAGACACTTTTAATGTAGTCAAGAAAATCTTTCACACTTGTGTTCATTTACAAGTTGTTTGGAGGCCTGTGTATATTGGTCAAGCTTTACAACATTTAGATGCAGTCGAAAAGATCACAGAAAGACAGAAACTGTACGATGCTCTAATACGCACCCTTTACTTTTTATTTATTTATCGCAATTCATATCGTTTTCGCAATATTGAACAAGAAGCAGGCCTTCTTTCTGCTGTGTTGAAATAAATAACAGTTTTTGTAATATATACCCCCCCCCCCAACAAGTCCTGCTACCTACTGCAGAATTAATTTTTAAACAACATTTGGTGCTTCGTGCTCTTGAATGTGCTCCCTATCGCGAGAGTGTGTTATATTTTGGGGTGTGCTTTTATTCCCCGAATCTGCTGGCACAACTCTTAAACCAATACAATCTCTTTTTAAAAAGGCCATAAAAAATCTTTGACAAAAAGCCATTTTCGTTTCACCATTTTAGATAAACATAATTTACTAAATTTTCAGAATTTTGTTCATTTTAAAAATGCATGTTTTATACATAAGATTTTGCACGGACTTGCTCCTCCTCCTTTGAGGGACTTCATAAAGCTGAAGTCTGCCGGTGGGAGACTGTGAGGTCCCATACAGACGCACTACATTCAGACAAACTGTTCTGTCAGTCAAAGGAACTAAATATTGGACTAGTCTCCCACTCACAATAAGAGACTCACAAACATATGCAACCTTCAAAACACACCTCAAACAAGTCTGTGACCACCTTTAAACTATATCATTGTCTTGTGTCACTTGTGCCTTTGTGTTTGTATTTTATTTGTAATTTGTCTTTCTCTGTTACCTGCCTAGAGACAACAGATGGAAACTAACACTAAAGCTATAATCTGGCATTTATACAGCTGTAATTGTTACAGCTGTTCATTAATATGCACTGTCCCTAAAAAATAAATAAATAAATAAAATCACTTAATGTTTTAGCTGTGCAGTGACTGTGAGAAACCCCTTGGCAGGGGGTCAGTGAGTGTACATTTTGTTCTGGCAGTGACCTATGACTCTACATCATTGAGAAGGACCGCCACTACATATTTTTAAACAGATTCATAAGACACTTGTCTCACCTGCATGCCCGGCAGGTGTCCCTGGACAGGAGAATGTGCCATGGTGATGCTGACGACGCTGGGCTCTCCTCGGCTTAATGTTTACAGTCCCTTCAACGTCACAAAGTCTCCAGTCCTACTCAGAATCTTCTGAGGTACTTCTACGCAGACAGAAAAATGTCCTTCCACACTTCTGCCTTCTGTCGGAACAACCCGAAGTCAACCAAAACAGCTGAGCAAGCTAACTGGCGTTGGCTAATGCTAGCTCTAAAGCTGCCAACAAGAAATCCGCAATGTTAGTTTGCTAACCAGCTAGCCAAGCGTTAACTGGTGCATTAAATAAGCTTTCCCACTCAGTGACGTTTCGCTGCTCCAACAAATGTTAACTCTCAGAAAGCGAAGAAGTAGCAACGAGTATGTATCCACAAAATTCACAAAGTGTCACTTTCTGTAAAACGCTGTTGTCAGCTAGCTAGCATGGTTAGCGCGCTAGCTAGCTAGCCGACGCAGACAACCTGACGATCCGTCCGCTAGCTGGCTCGGAGTTCATCTGCATACCAGATCCGAGTCCTGAACAACCCGAGTGTCGAGCTGCTGTCTTTGCACTAACGTGTCTTCGGCTGCTCTTACAGGTCTGGCATCTGCGGCAAGGATATCTCGCCAGTGTTTTTGTTTCCTCCCTCACTTTCGTCCCTTACTCTCGGCCATCTTGTCGGTGCTGTGACGCCTGGCTGGGCGGATCCGGATCCGGATCAACAACAACATCCTGGACTCCCCGGTGCTGATGCAAGGTGGATGGACCGAGGGCCCCCAAAAGTTTATAAGTCAGTAAAGCGATCCTCTTGACAGCTTGAAGTTATGGCTGAATGTCATCTGACTGAGGAAAAGTGAATTCTTGTGATATGGTCCAATAAGCTTAAGAATTGACTTGTATAGATAGATATAATCTTTATTATCATTGTATACAAGGACACAACCAAACTTCGTTAGCAGACATCCTAAACAGCAGCGTTTACAAAAACAACAACAACAACAACAATATATTTGTGGTGATATGAAAGAGAAGTATGCAAAAAGTGGCCAGAGAAATTGCTGTTCAGTGAATGAATAATAATAATAAATAAATAGACAGTTGTGGTGACTGAAATAATATATACAGTTATTATTTTGCAGTGAGTGATTAATTAAACAAATATAAATATAGAGATATAGTGCAAATAAGTGAAGTTATGGTGCAGTGAAAGAGTATATACAGTTATTATTGTGCAGTGACTGGATGAGTAAATAAACAGTTAAAGTTAAAGTGCAGTGACAGAGTAAATAAATAGACAATTGTAAAGCAGTCATTTACAAAGTTATTGCATAAGTAATATTGAACGGTTAGCAGCGGTTGGGTAATTATTGCACATGTTCATTCTATGTATATTAATTGGCCATGGTATTATTTTAAAAGCTGAGAATTGTAAAGAAGAACTAAAGATGAAATCAATGTTTGCCTCATTATGTGGAAGCAATGCCATTGACTAAGCTATGTGATAAACATAGGTCTACTACAAACCACCAGCTCTTATTTGAAAGGCTGCATTCATAATAATAATACTAATAACTTTATTTATATAGCACCTTTTAAAAACACAGGTTTGCAAAGTGCGTTGACAAACAAGAACAAAGCAAACTAAACCAAACACAGATCGCACGATACCCAACAGACATATATAACCCGACCATCACAAGAACCATCATAAGAACCAGGCACAAGAACCATCATAAGAACCCAGGAAACACAAGAACCATCATAAGAACCCAGGCAACACAAGAACCATCATAAGAACCCAGGCAACACAAGAACCATCATAAGGACCCAGGCAACACAGGAACCCAACAACACGAGCTGAGACCAAGAGGACCAAAGATTTAAAAAGATGTAAGAAACTAAAAGAGCTAAAAGCAAATAGAAAGACAGCAATAAGAAGGTAAGAGCAGAAAAAGAAATAGAAACAAGTGGTGAAAGGATCAAAAAAACCCAAACTATAATATTAATTAAAAAAAAAATTCATCTTATCATTGTACACTCTTAAGATGCAGCAGTTTTTGTCCTCTGCAATATTGATCATAATAAGCTTCTCCATAGCACTGATTTGAGATAGCCTAACACAATTAAATTGGGAGTAAATCAAATTCTATTGATTCTCAAACTGTTATTGACAATACGCAGAGTTCACCAGAAGAGGGCGCCAGTACATAATCCTCTGCATCAGCACCCTGGTGTAATCTGGATACTGATGCCAGTGCACCATTGCGTGCTACTGCTGCAGCTACAAATAACGATGGGATGGCCTGCGTTGCTGCAGCTGATATTTTGTGTGTGTCCAGGATTATCCCCTGTAACATTTAATACTATAAAAATCTATACTTATAGCTGAAGCCAGTACAGTCTGTGATCACATTGATGGCTGCGGCTTTTTTTTTTTTTCCAACAGAGGGCCTGTATCGAGGAGGCCGGAGAATGAAAAAAAAAAAAATCACATGGGTAGCTCAAACAAGGCACGTTGTCTACATTAGGAAGTCATGGCAACATGATTGTATTGTTATTGCAGCTTGCAAGAGGGAAACGAATTCTGTATGGGAAATTAAAATGAATTCTAGCCTATATTGGTTGAAAATGCGTCTTTAGAGGATGATATAAAGTAAGAACCTCAAGACGAGGTGGTTGAAATTCATAATTCTTCAACCAAATGTCCCAATATTGATTAGCCTTTTGCTAGATATTATTCCCCAGATCAGAAGTAGTTTGAAATAAGACATATTCACGTGTCTGTATCTGTGAAAACATATTTATTGAGGATTAGCCCACACAAATAATTTCTGAAGTCTGCGCACACGCGTGTTATGGGAAGCACTACCTCCCTCCTCCATGCGTAAATTATGTAGGGCAGGACGGGAATGCTCTGCTACCTCCATTTGACAAAACCCGGCCGGTGAATGTGAAGGGGGGTGGGAAAAAAGAAAAAGAAATCACCAACTAGTCCACCCCGTCTCCTGCCAGCGTTTGACAGAAGCGGAGCAGCGCACCACGACGTGTCTATTGTGAAGCTGAGGTGAAGAAAAGATGGACATCACGGATCAAGGAGCCCAAATGGAGCCGCTATTGCCAACGGTAAGACCCACATTGACACGCTATTGTTGTGATTATGATCCATTTGATGTGCTTCAGCCTTGAATGTACTGGTGTTCATCGGCTTAGGTTATTTATATTTTACAGGAAACCGTTTGGATTAAACATCCCATCAGTGTATGATTCATAGTTTACATCTGTATTTGAAAATGACCCATATTTTGATTGCTTTACCGGTTGCGTGCCTCATGGATATCATGACCAACATGGATGCTACGCACCTTCAATACATATCATTTATGTTTTCACCGTGTGCACAGTTCATATCTGAGCAAACGATTAAATGTATTTTTCCCATAAACGCCCACACCTTCACACAGATGGCCTCTGTGATACAGGTTGATACAGTGTTACACCGCGCAGCTACAGCCATTCATTTGTACCACACTGTCTACACGCAAAGGCTCCTTAAAATGTTGCCTTTCATCCAAATCATATCGACCCCGTTTTCAAACGCGTTGTTTATGAAACCTGCTGTTAAGCTGTTGCTTCACAGATCTGCCTGCCTAAGATGTAACACGGTGAGGGGAGCATTAGCCTAAGTGTTTGATCTGACGGTGAGGGAGCAGGAGGAGATAATATGATGATGAGGATGATGCCTCATCAGTTGGATGTAACTAGCTTGTTGTCTCTCCATTTTTTCCGTGATGAGCTTCTCTGAACTATTATTCACAACCCATTTGGTATTATTAAAACAGACATTTGATTGAAAAAGTAATTGCTTGTTTACACGATGTTGCTATTATCCCTCTCCTCTGGTGGAATCAGAGGTGCTGTGCAAGCATCCCAAAAGTCTTTATTTCTCTGAAGAAAATTCTTAACAGTGTGGGATCAGGATGTGTAAGTGGAACACAAACAAAGAGCCAACTGGTCAAATACGACATGGAAAAAACTGGAAACATGTTAAAGATAACAGGGAGCAATCAGGTCAGATATTACAGGGAACATATGGGCAAAACAAATGAAAGGGGACAAATGACAGGATACCAACAGGTTAAATAGAGCAGGGAAAACATTTGAAACTAACAGGTTAAATACAACTACAGTAGAGACAGGAAACAACAGACAGACAGGGAAACAACAGGGAAAATATTGGGACCCAACTGGCAAAGATCAGATATAACAGGCAACAAAGAGGGGAACAACAAACCAGTCAAATGTAACAGGAAAGCAATATTTCCAAAAATTGTAAAGGGATCAAACTGGTTGTACTACAGGGAAAAGACAAGGAACAAAAAGGATGAATATATGTGTTCTTTAGGTGAGAGCCTTTTAGAACCACTGGCAGAATTTCAAAAAAGCACGTTTCAAACATAACACATCGGTTCACTTGAAGGCAGAGGCCTCTTCTGCGGTCAGCATCCCCTCATTAGCATTCAGGTGAGACTGTGCGGAGACGGAGGGAAAAATGTCAGCTGCCTTTAGTGCCTTACATGCACAGAGGAGGAAGATGAAATACATCGCTTTTTGTTCACCATGTTAAACAGCAACGATTGCTCCTGATTCAAATCAATACTCTCGTTGTTTGTTCTATTACCGGACGTGTTACATGAGGACTTTCCAGAGCTTACACTGAAGCCTGCCGGGGGCTGATGTGGCGTGGGATGGCTGTTCTGCTTCCCCTGCAGTCTCGATGCAGTGTGGTAGATTTCCTCTTATTGTAACTCATCACTGCTACCCCCATCATTCTTCTACCCACACAGCAAGCTAATGCATTGTCATAGTTTCACCAGGATGCCAGGATTTGAGGTGTTAGCATGGTGAGGATCTCAGGGATTCCTCAGAATGTGACAACAAAACAAATCCATCCTTCTGAATCTCATCCGAGCAGGTTACCAGGTTCCCAAGGTCAAGCATGAGAGTATGTTTAATTTACAGCAGGAAGGATTGCCCATGAATGCATCATCGCTAGTGACGATTGTTATGAGCCGAGACAAGTTTACTACATGTTAAGGGCTTTATTAATAGAGCATCCACATGCAAATATCTAAGTGTCCACGAGCCTTTCTTTTGTCCTATTGACTGATGTATCCATGTTCTTTGACTTGCAGGACCAGAGTCCCCAAGAAAGCAAAGACGTGGTGAGTACAATTCTTCTTCTACTACTATTTGTCTGGCTGGAGAAATGTAACATCGAATCGCCCAGAAGCAACAATGATAACTCAGCTTGATGCACTTGTTCAGACTAGTTCTAAAACACTGGGGGACAATACAAAAAAATCAATAGGAAAAAGTAATCCAATAAAAAAGGATGTAGGGTAAGGCAAGAGTAATAAAGCAGAGGTCACATGAAATTACTCTTGTTACATAATTGCAAGTTTGTGAAGAGTTTTAATAGGAAAAGTTTTATAGGTTGATCAAATTATTTACTGAACCCAAACACAATTTAATGTCTGCGGTTTGGTACTTTAGGCAACTCTAATAATCACATTTTATATTGCTTTACAAGGACGAAAGAAAACATTACAAACCTCAATTAATAAAAAAAAAAAGACAGAAAAAATCAGACCATCTATAATAAAAAGTTAAGAAAAAAAGATACATTTAAAAATAATGTGTAA